GGCGAGAGGTTGCGGACAGTAGGTGAGTCTGGGGTACCCTGTACATTGGCAAACACGTAGTTGATTTTCTGTGTCTAGATACTCTAGGCTTATTGGTCGGTGCCCCATCTGTATTTGGTTTTGGTCGAGTAAATTTAGATAAGCTAGAGAAGCCATTTTGTTTGTTTGATTTCAGAGGTTAGTTAGTTAGGCCAAGTTTTGTTATATTGGTTTCAATTGTTTGGCATGACCACACTTGTCCATCCTCTCCCACTCTGTTAAGACTCACTCTTATTGAACTGTACGTGAGCAAAATAAATATTGTTTATAGTTCATGGTCTATTTGTTATCATTTGGGTTGTTTTTGTGTTAGTCCCTAATCCTCCCCTGGACCAATAGAAAAGGGACGTAACAGCACTCATGAAATGTAATTTTCTTATGGGATCAGCGGATCAATCTGTGTGACTTATGAAGCTAGTGGAAGTTGAACCGGGGACCTATTATTTGTCCAATCATTTTTCCCCACGTGCTTCATCTTATTTCATATCGAATGGATCTATTTTCAAGTGATTTTATCCAATCACAGCAATTCTCTTTTCCTTTATAGTTATCCCTTAATCATTCAATCAGTACGACTGTATATGTCTGCTCATTGGTCTCACAACAGTGAGTTGTTCTCTCTTTGAATAAAGCTGGATGAAAGTAAGATACCAGTAAACTTAGTATTCCTGTGTTTCACTGTCTTGTGCTGCCATCTTGTGGATAATTAAAACACTGCAAAAAAAAAAACAGAAATTGTAATATACTGTAGAAAATGAAGGCTGTATTCAAAAATACTGTGAGAGCTTTAGACCTAAAAATTCCTTACATGCGATCTTGGCCCTTGGCATAATTTCCAGCATCAGGCAGTCCACGCGGGATTAAAAACGTCTCGCTGTCGGATGCGCCGTCCGACAGTCGCGGACGTTCTCGGACGTGCAGGCCGGAGTCCCGCCGGCACCCCCAACGCGCTGCAGATTGCGAGGGCCCATTCATTGCTGCTCGCAGCTTTAATTTGTTGTGTTTTTATTCCTATGCCTCCAAGAGAACAAAAAATTAATGCCTTAAATAAAGCTTTATCATATATGATATGTCAATCATATATATTGACATATGATTACAGCAGTGGTGGGTCGTCAGGGCCAGCAAGGTCTTCTCTGCTGGCCTAGACAGAATCACAAATTTATAGCTATTTTATAATTTTTCATAAATACACTACATGTATTTTTTTTTTTCTCATTGCACAGCTAGTGTCTTTCTCAGTTGCTCTGCTTCCAGTACAGCTTGTTTAAAGTAGAGCTTTTATCGAATCAGATTTCACCTCTGTGTCTCTAGGTAAGAAGAGAGGCCCGAGGCCTGCAGACTCACAAGTGAATCCCTTTGCAGTTTAAGTGAATGGGGACGATATTGTTGATTGTCATAGTCTTCAACCAATCAGATCTTTAGTTTGACATGTTGGTCGTATTCTTTGACGTGCCGGAGCCTTCTAGCTGGCCTAGCCATACGTGATTGGTCAGTGGACTAGCGTGACATGTTGGGTGGTGACAATGCCAATATATGCTGCCTCTGCCGAGCGGACATTTTCAGCCCTCGAACGCATTAAAACGTATTCAAGAAATGCAACTGGGGAGACTCGACTGTCTTCACTGGCGTCCATGAATCGAGAAGGACTTCTTACTGGAACTAAAACCCACGGATGTACTGAACCGTGGGATTAAACTCTTTATTAACAAAGAAAGGAGGATGGATTTTGTCTTTAAATAGTGAACAGCAGCTTTGGTAAGTTAACTGCTTTTGTTTTTACATCTGCAGTAGCTTTAATATGCTGGTTTTATATATTATTATTTGTACAACTTGTTTTTATGAAGATGGATTTTTGTTTGGTTTTATGTGATAGGAACTATTGTTACAACCAATGTTGCTCTGGGGACATATTTAGCCAGTGCCAGTGTTGCCAACTTGGCGACTTTCTCGCTAAATCTGCCAACTTTCCAAACCCTCATGGCGACTTTTTTTGTTAAAAGCTACTAGCGACTTTTTCTGGTGTTGTTCGACTTTTCTGGTATTTTGACTCTGCTGTGAAAGCACGCACTGTCGTGAACGAGCCTCGCGCAGCAGCTGCAGTCAGAGCAGAAAGGAGACACACTCTTGGCGTATTCTCTTACGTTATATACAGTTATATTAATAGGTGTTGGCTTCATTTTTACACAAAACAAATAATAACCGTAGCTGTGTTTCAGCTGCAGGACAGCAGTGAAGGCCCAGGTATAAAATGCACGGCCCGCCACTGGATTACAGCTAGTAAATGTACCATTGTAATATCAAGACAAATTTAGACTAAACTCTATATTGACTTTCAAGTAATTACTTCAGAAGGATTTGTGTATACAATACTGTGAGTGAGGAATTTTAATTGTTAGGACAATATTTTCGGAAAGACAAATTCCATATTTTTTTTTTTTTTTTTTTTTTTTTTTTTTTTTTTTTTTTTTTTTTTATATATAAGAACCAAACCTGATCAACATCATTCACCGTGTGTTTTGATAGGGGCAGGAGTTTCTGAGGCTGACAGACTACATCAAACCTACAACATCCGTCACCTGGCTGAACTGTAACAACCCCTTTTCGGACAGCAGGTGGCAGTAATGTTTCATTCAAGGCCGTAACCCGTTAACAGAATAAACAAGAAGAACCATAGCAGCAAGTAACTCATCAAATTATAGACCAATTGCCCTAACATCACATATGTAAACTTATGGAATGCATGGTAAATGAAAGATTAATGTATTATTTAGAGAAACAAGAGATATTAGTAGGGTGTCAGAGTGGATTTAGGAAAGGTAGGGGAACCTTGGAATCAATTTTATGTCTAGAAGATAAGGTAAGAAAGGCACAGGTTAATAAACTGTGGCAGCAGTGTTTTTTGATGTAGAAAAGGCTTATGATATCCTATGGAGGGAAGGTCTTTTGATAAAAATGCATCTAATGGGAATCGGGGAAACTGTTTAATTGGATAATGGACTTTTTGAATAAAAGAGCTATCCAGGTAAAAGTAGGAGCTGAAAGGTCAAGGAAATACGAGGTAGACAATGGGGCTCCACAAGGGACTGTGGTAAGTCCTATATTATTCTCCATTGCAATAAATGACATCTTTGCAATGGTCTCACCAGATATGGGAAGGTCATTATTTGCAGATGATGGGGCCTTATGGAAAAAATTAAGAAACTTGGAACATATTGTTCAAAAACTGCAAGAAGGGATAAAACAAGTTGCAATCTGGGGAATTAAATTCTCACCGGAAAAACAAAAGTTATGTTCTTTACGAGACAGAGAACTAAGGGAAACTTTCAGCTGAATCTGTATGAAAACAAGTTAGAAATAGTAGTTATTTCGTCTTTTAGGAGTACACTTTGACAGCAGATTAGCATGGAAAGACCACATTAAAAATGTTGGTGATAAGTGTAAAAAAAGTTATAAATGTAATGAGATGTCTGGTAGGGTTGGACTGGGGAGCAGAGGTTGCATCCCTGATACACATTTACAAAGCTCTAATTAAATCGAGATTAGATTATAGTAGTATAGCATATGGTTCAGCAGCAGAAACCACACTAAAACAGTTAGATGCTATCCAGAGCAGGGCCCTCAGGATTTGTATAGGTGCAGTAAAGAACATCACCTGTGTGCGCCATCCAAGTAGAGACAGGAGAAATGCCATTGTGTCTTCGCAGAAAACTGTTGGTTAATTATTGGATAAATCTGAGGGGTCATGAAGATAAAAACGTATCACAGGCATGTTGGGAAAGACATAAAGTACCAAAGACACGTTTTGGCTGGATAGGAGAAGCAACAGCAAGAAGCCTAGGTGTCTCTGATATAGAGCTTTGCCCTACTGTCGTTAGGCCAATAATTCCTGTGTGGATGCTCAAAGAACCAGAGGTGGACATGGAGTTGCTGCAAATTAAGGTAAGATGTAAAAATACTGATTGAGTGAGTTCTATGAGTACACAGCTAAAATATACCCAGAGCATGTGCATGTTTTTACCGATGGATCAAAAGATCCAGCTACAGAACAGTACAGGATCTGCTGTTGCAGTTCCTAGTCACAAATTTGAAATATTTAACTGCACTTCGAATTTTTTTGCTGTGTATACAATTTTTTTTTGGCCCTAGAGTCGGTTGAACAACACAGACCAGGCAAAGTCCTTATTTGCAGTGACTCCATGTCTGCACTCGTTAGTCTGAAGTCGGGTATGTCCAATACTCGACAAGATCTGTTACTAAAAATGTCAAATCACTCTAGAGCAATAGAACGAGGCACTGAAGTTATATTTATATGGATACTGGCCCATGTACTGTAGGTATCAGAGGAAATGAAAAACTGGACAAACTAGCCAAACAAGCACTAAAGGAAAACAAAGTAGACGTATGTATCAAGTTATCCAAAGCAGAGGGAAAGGGCATCATCAGGAAAAATATCAAAGTATGGCAACATTGGGACCAGGAGACGAGGGGGAGACACCTACATTCAATTCAGAGTAAAGTGAACTGTAAGATACAGGGGAGGAAACGGGAGAGAAGAGGTTACAATATTAAGAATAGGGCACAGCAGTCTACGCAGCACACTACACATGATAAGCATCCAACCGGTCTCTGTGAGCACTGCCAGGCACCAGAAACTGTACAACATGTTATCACCTCCTGTATTAGACACAGCTCAGAAAGGAGGGGCATGCTGGGAGAAATGCAAAGACTAGGGATGAGAGGAAGAGAGATGAATAATATAAGAGTGGGGATCTAGTAATCTGGGAAGAAGGTGCTTTACAAACTTTTTGCGAGCAACGGGTCTGATGGGGAAAGTTAGTAGTTGGAAACATAGGAACTGACTGAAACCGGAAGATGGCAGTAATGCAACAAAAAGGATGCAAGCTGCCATTAAACACCACAGAGGAAGAAGAAGAACCATAGCAACGATTTAAACAAAGATGGCGGTGTCAGCCGCTGTGTTATGGTCCACTTCAAACCTTTGTTTGTTTCTCTTATATTCTGCCGTAACTACACACGAAAATACAACAAGCTACAGCTTGAATACGACATATTGTGACCAGAACGTAACAAATAATGTTACGGACAATTATACAACCACACAGCCTACAGACTTTGACTCGACAACCCCAACAACACCGAGATACAGCAGAACAGAGGAGCCCATTCAGCCGACATTGCCCGCTGAGCCCCTGCCCGTCTCCGGCCGCCTGCTCACTCCTGTCACTAAAGGTAATCTGTGGCTAGACCGCACTGCACTCCTCAATTATTAGTATTACGTTACGTAAAATAGCTAACGTTAGCAAGCGTACACCATGTTCTACACGTGTTGTGGAAGTATTTGTAGGGCCACTTAACGTTAACTTTCTTTTTACGTATCAAAATGAACGGTGTAGTTTAAATTAAATCAAATAAATGTGTCCGGCTGATATCAAAAAGACAACTTTGAACTGAGATGTTTTTAAATGGAGTTTGGTGTAAGGGTGTAAAATACCACAAATAGACTTACATTTTTATTGTTTGCATATGTATGTAAATAAAATGTATTATTATATCATTTCGAATTTCTGACTGAAGAATAAGAAAAAACATGCACATTATACACACCCATGCATACAGATATCGACATGTTCCTGTAATCTATTATTTCCAGTTACTTTAAGAGCTCTCTAGAAAGCGGTGTTCCAGTGTATGTGTCTAGGGCTTTTATCCTGAAAGATAAAACTGAAGGAGGGGAAAAAAGGTTTTACTGGTGAGTGTAAAGGAGATAAAGTTGTTGCCATCTTGGTGCAGACTACGGAGCCCCGTATTATTTCATAACTATTATAAAGTATAGGCGCAACATGACCCTCTGCTACAGAGGTGGCAGCGGTGGGATATTGGAGCTGGATCCTTTCAACTGGGTCATTCAACACAAGGATGGACAACAGCATACTCATGCACTTTCACATGATGGGACTGGACTGAAAGAACTGCAACAGGCCGATCCAGATATTGATACGTGTTGGATTGGAGGGATTCTCGACCACCTCGGGAGCAGATGAGAGGCAGCTCTAGGTGGCTGCGGTAGTTATGGACTGAATAGCCTTCTGTGGTGAATGACCTACTCTGCCGGAGAGTGACTTCCTCCCTCACAAGGGGTGCTCAGTATCAGGTGGTCGTGCCCTCATTGCTTGTCCCTGATATGCTGCAGCATCTTCCTGGAGGCCCTGTGTCGGCGCATTTCTCAGCGGAACGAGAGTGGGAACGAGTCAGACGCAGAGCCCCTGTGCCTAAGCACCGGGCACCAATGGACGGGGGTCCCAAGCAACACGACCGTTCCAGAGAGTGGCAATGGATATTGTTGAATTACCAGTGACTTCTAACGGCAACAGATATGTGTTAGTAGTGGAAGACTACTTTTCCAAGTTTGTAAACCTGTATGCTCTTCCTAATCAAACGGCCCAATCAGTAGCACAGTGTCTGTTTGAGGATTACGTGCTGGTACATGGCGTTCCAGAAGTGGTTCACAGTGACCAGGGCCAGCAGTGTTTTCTTAAGGGATTAAGAGAATACTCACGCTGTATAATCCCAAATCAGACGGCATGGTCCAAAGATTTAATCAGACTCTCATTGATCAACTGGCCGGAGCAGGTTCTTCATTATGATAGACTGAAACCTTGCACTTTGCTACGGCCTGCTGGTTCTTCAAGTAGCCTCCCTGCTTCTCCTCACCAAGCTCCTTCGCTGCAGGACGAGGGGTCGCCAGTGAAGCACAACAGACTGTCGTGTTCTAAGAGTTGTGAGACAACCAGCATATTTAAAGGACTTTGCCACTTGTCACTAATTGATTTGTGAATGTGTGAATAGGTCTGTCAACATGTTTTCTTCACTGTAGCAGCACATGCTTTGTGTGTCCAAACGCTATGGTGTATGTCTGTCTATTGGGGCATATTATCTGGAGGCTGTGCAGTTGGGTGATGGGAGCATGTATAATGTTGTCTACTGTTACATTTTGTGTTGACATGTTGTTACTGGGGTTTGGAAAATTTGTTTGTTGCGTTTAGAAACTGTTTCTTTCTGGAGGAGGGGAGGTATGTAGGCTATTATGGGGCTTTTATTGTGAAGGATAAAACTGAAGAGGAAAAGGTTCTACTGGTATTTGTGAAGGAAATAAAGTTGTTGCCATCGTGGTGCAGACTACGGAGCCCCATCTCATTACTATTATAAAGTATAGGTGCAATATAACCCTCGGCTACACTTCTAAGTACGCAAACAATATGTAAACATTACAATTATAAATGCACAAACGCATATAGACAATACGCTTTTGAAAATAATAACTAATTGTGTATAACATAGCTGCTTATTAAAATATCCACGTGCACACGCAAACATGCCGTAGATGTACTGGGACATATCCTGCATAGCTTTACACAATGCTGATGCATTTAAGTCCTTGTAATGTATATTCTTGCAGTAAAAAGCACACCCACACGAAGGTGGATAAACTTTGCTTTGTTGTGAGAATGCCTTTGTCTAACCTGAGCATTGCTGTGTGTTTCAGTTGGCAGCTTGTGTCCCTGTGACAAGCACAAGGATGTGTGTGACATCAACTGTTGCTGTGACAGAGCATGTAGTGAGGAGGTTGCGCTGTTCACCGGCTGCTCAGTGGACACTGTCAGGCAAGTCTCCCACCTGGTCCAAAGGGAGAAGTGGGGGTTGTTGCTTACTAGCCTGTTGTGTCTTTCGTCATTTTCAGTCACAATGATTCATTAGTATCATGGACCTGCAAAGGGTTGGCACTGTAACAAAGCAGAAAACAGATTTCATTTACTGTCAATATTAAAAATACATTTTTCAAACAATGGCCAAACATGGAAAAATGAAGGCCAGATGTTAATAAAGTCCAGATAAAAACATTTGGGAGGAGTAGAATTACAGTACTCTAACAGCTCACATAGTAAATTCAGTGGGATGTACATTTCCACACAGTACAACAAAACAGTCATGTCATACTTGCCACTCTACTGCTCCGAGTTTTCCTTTTGAACAGAAATAGTTTTTTTGTTTTTTTTTTTGTTTTTTATTCACTTCTTAATTTAAATCACTTAACGCTTAAGTTTTTAGGTTCGTGACAAGTGGTGTTTAAGTCAGTCAATGCAACTCAACTACATTTCAAATTAAAAGCCTAGAAGGTAAGGGAGGCCTTTAGCCCTTTGAGACCCTAGGCTTTGAATATGAAATATCAGTGCAGGAAGTGTTGTTTCAGTGACACTAGCTTAACATGGATGGAATGAGACAAAATGGAAGTGACTGGAATTAATAACTGAATGAAAACAATATTTCCAAGAAAGTGAGAGCAGCAGATTGGTGATTTGAGTTTGTTTGAAAATGTACATTATGTGGAATTTAATCAAGACAAAAAGGTAAATACAATAAAATATGAGAAATAAAGGCATGCTGCTTCAGATGGTCTAGTCCTCCCTGCAATACATGAAACCCAGGAGTTCTCCTCAGAATTGTAGAGATGGTTTTTAGAAACGATCTCTGTAACTGACCATGATGCAAAGCTGGTGATTAAAATCTTTTTAGGTCCAATCACCTTTTAGGCAGACCTTTAACCCAGAAGGCCACTGGGCCAGATGGTATCTCTGCATTTACTCTGCCCCATCTTTGGATACGTACACCACCCTCCGGAAGAAATCAGTAATTTTGCACAGACAATGCTATTAATAACATCACACACCTGGTGACTCAACATCTGGAAGACCCCAAAGCGTATGTACTCCTACTGTTTGTTGATTTTAGCTCAACTATTAATAGACTACAGCCTCACATATTGATTCAGAAATTGAAACAGGTGGATGTTATTTCTTTAGGATATTTTTCTTTTTTACCCAATCGTACCCAGCGTGTTAGGTTTAACAATGTAACCTCATATCCCAGATTATTCAGCACTGGTGCCCCTCAGAGTTGTGTCTGCACCCTAGTCCTCTTCACAGTACACTAATGACTGCACTAGAATCCACCCTGAAAACTATATCATCAAGTTCTTAGCAGCAGTTCATCAGTTTACCACTCTGAAATAGAGAGATGTATGCAATGAATGGTGAATGAGGAGATGGTAATTGACCCTTTGGCAGTGGGCGATCTTAGGCCGGTGGTTATTCACAATAGATAAGCAATGTAACATCTGTCTACACACAATATATGTTCTGGATCATCATTGGTGTTTCTTTTTTTGTTTGTAGTGGGAAAAAGCAGCTGTGCAGCAATGATGTAGCGACTTACTCTTTAGGGAGCACGATTGATGGCTACTCAGAGCTACAGTCATCTGTTCGGAAGGAGACTAATTACGACGTCTTCTGCATTCAGTCACAGAACCGTAAGTCATGAATGGTCCTTCATTTGGATTTGAAATTAACTATGAATAAAGTATTTTTAAGAAAATATCAATTATTACTTGGTCTGACACCAATCTTTTAATCACTGGATTTAAATGAACATAAAGTGATGACTGCCGGCATGCCCCCAGTTTGGAGAAACAGGAGTAACAAGTACAGGAGTTAACTAATGTACAGCTTGGGACAGATGCAGGAGCCAAATATATTTTAGACACCTTAAGAAAATCAACATCAATTTGTGTGTACGCTGTATTTAGAATATTTCACCTTGACTGAAGCCGTTATCTGTGCTCTCTTTAAAGCCGCAAGACTCCATTGACAAAAATAGTAGTTTTACCTTAAAGAACATGGGAGGTCTTGTTCTGCCTCAGTCGGTTAGTTTGTGTTATTGTGCGACTTTCGTATTTAAAAAGTGATAGCTTGGATTTACCAAAATCACACAGTAACGCAAACAAACGCACTGATTGATGCGGCAGTAGACGAGCAACTTCCGTGTTCTGCTGGTTAAATGTTTTTCTCAATGGAGTCAGTTAGCTTTGAAGAGAGCACAGATGGATATAATGCCGTCGGAAAGGACGGTGCTCAAGATAATAAACTGACCTTAACCACACTCAAAATCCAAACCATCCCTTTTATGCAGAATTGAAAGGATAAGGCGGGTGTCATTTTTTTGTTTTTATTTGAATGAATGTATATTATGCAGAATATAATTGTATGGCTACTTGTAGGTAAAGTATGCAGCTATGTAACAAATTACCTTACTCCAAGTTTGTCTCATTTACTGACAATATGTTCTGTCTAGGTGTTGATGGATTATCTCACCCCTCTCCTGCTCTTCCAACTGACAGCAACTTTGACTCACTCGTCAAAGAATTCACCAGCTTTATATTTGGCTCAGAGGAGAACGGTGGTCCGGTGACCCCTGCAGAGCTCCAGGCCTTGTCTGGATACCAGGCAAATCTCTGTTTTGAACGGTTATTCCGTCTCCGTTTGTCTCAAATTGATTATTTGTAATTATCGCGAAAGAGCAATGTTCATTCTCTGCTGATGGTTTATGGTTTCAGTGGGGAGATGTGATGGTGACAGCGGGAGAGAGTGGACAGAGAGGGATGTTCTGGCTGCCAGCTCCTTGTGTCACTGCGGACTGTGTGGACACCAGTCCTGCAGGTAACTGCAAGGGACAGTGCTACTTTTGCTAAAGTGTTGCAACTGTGTGATAATTATGGGATGATGAATGATGAATGCTAAAAAGTAGTGTTACTGTAGTAGAGTAGTCATTAAGTCAGAAAACTGACTCAGCAATATTTGTAACACAGCAACATCTATCAAAAATTTGAAAAATATGTCAATTCTGTCAGATTATCAGACTAATGAGGGTTTCATATCAGAGACCCGGCCCAGATGTGAGTACACTTGACCCCATAGTCCAGTTTGTTTGATTAGTGTGAACACTGTCGACCGATCCTTCCCGAGTACAGTTTGTGTGTATTTGAATAAGAGTTTGCATCAGTTTTAAAAACCCAACTGTACCAAAACTAGGAAGTGGACTGCTATTTCACGCAAGTTATTTAATTGCTGTGAAAATCAAGGCCACAGAGAGAAAAATGTGACGGGAGTGAAAAAACTGCTTTGGGGCTTTTAATTTGAAATGGGGTGGTGAGAGGGGAAAATCCTCTAAAAATATCTAAGACCTGAATGACTGTAAGATAGGGAGAGAGACAGACAGTTAGATGAGTGAGACGGGCAGAAAGGAGGTCTAATGATCTTTCCTTGAATATCATGTGTGGATGTGTGTATATGTGTGTAGAGAGAGGCAGACAGACAGACAGGAGGTTTAACAATGCCTTTGATTGAATATCGTGTGTGTGTGTGTGTGTGTGTGTGTGTGTGTGTGTGTGTGTGTGTGTG